CTCCTCCGTCAGAGGCCCGGGTCCTTCCCTCCAGGACGGTTGGCTCAGTTAGGGAGACGGGGTGCGGGGTGGGGCAGCGGGGCGGCGAGCTCGGCGGCGGGGACTCTGCGTCGGGGAGCGCACCCCCAGCTCGTCAGCTGCGCTGTCCCCCCCTTGCCCCGCAGCACGAACGCCTTCGTCCTGCTGCTCTGCGAGGCGCCCTTCTGCTGCCCGTTCATCGAGTTTGCGAACACGGTGGCGGCGACGGTGGACCGGCTGCGCTCCTGGCAGAAGGCGGTCTTCTACTGCGGGTGAGGGCCGCGGGCCGGGATGCTGGGGGGTGTGGCCTCGAGGGCCCCCGACTCGGTGACCCCAAGGGCGGTGGTGGCGCCGGCCCGGACCACAGGCCAGGTGCGCTTGTTCACTGTCGGCGGAGGCCTCGCCGGGTTCTCGTGCGCCGTGTCGCTGGCTGGCGGCCGTCCACGGGAGGTGCACGCGCCTCGTGGCGCCGCGTGTAGTGGAGAGACACAGGGAGCAGCTGGGAGCTGTTAGGCGCGGCTGGTGCGTGCGGGCCGGGGGTGGGGTCGGCGCGCCGCGGGGCACGAAGCACCACCTTCCGAGCGCGCACCGCTCGTGATCCTGTCTAGGCGCGAATCCAGTCTGTGCTGCTTCACGGCCGAATCACGAGACTGAGCTAATTTCAGGATGTGTTTAATGCATAGAAGCTTCTAGCATAGTGCCTGGGGCCTAGGAGGCCCTCGGCAGCCCTGGCAGCAGCGGCAGCCGCAGTGACCGTTGCTGTTGCCCAGGTGTCTTCAGAGGCGATCGTGCAGGTGCTGACGGCAGACGTCCCTCCCCGCCTGGAGGCCGCGCGTGTGGCCAGCGCACGGGCGTGTGCTTCGCCGCAGCCGCCCCGCGTTTCAAACAGGATCACACGGCACTGCGTGACGTCGGGTCCTATGCCTTGGTCTTTATTTTTCTGATGTATTTTTAAAACGCTGACCGTAATTTCCATTCGTTAAAAACAGTTTGGAAAATAGAAAGAAAATGGTCACCCGGAGCCCGGCCCGTTAGCACTGCGACGTGTGCCATTTCACCGTGTCTTCAGGCGTCTTTCTAGAACCTGTTTCCTACACAGTTATGACCGTCGTAAATAAGTTCGTGTTCTGCTTTTTTCCCCACTTACTATCATGGTAGAAACGTTTCATTATCACCACAAAGACTTCACGAGAGTGTTCTTTCTGATAGGAATGTTCACTTACCGGCCACGGCCCGCTCTTCTGAGTGTGTAAGGTGGTCTGCGCGAAGCTGTGACAGACGCGTGTGCACTGAAGCCTCCTGTGTCGCTGATGGTTTCCTTAGTGTTTCCAGGTGTTTCCAGGTGCGGGATGATTCGGTCGAAGCTTATGATCACTGAAAAGGGGCCAGCGTGTGACTAAACTGCTTCCCGGAGGGGGTCTGCTCGCCACCCCGCCCGCCCGCGGTGCTGTGAGCCGGGTCGAGGGCTGAAACGCGTCTCCGTCTTTTTTACCGATGGCATTTTCTTTGTGAATATGGTCTGGTTTACTTTCACCTGTTGGCGTCTCAGTGTTTCAGTTAGTAAGTTCTGTGTGTTTTATATTAAAGGCTCCTTAATCCTTTTTTACGTTTTCTGCAAATTGTTTGCCTTTGATTTGTCTTGACGGATTTTTCCCCGCAGCCTTTCCTTCCCTTTGTGGTTTCTATTCTTTTATCACCTAGAAATTTTATAACTACAGTTGACCCTTGAGCAACGCGGGGGTGCGGGGTGCTGACCCCGCGTGCAGGCAGAAATCTGCGTATAAATTGCCTCCCTGAAAACGTAACTGCTAATGGCCTCCTGTTGACCGGAAGGAAGCCTGGCTGATAACATCAACAGTTAATCCGTGTTTCGTACGTTATCTGTATCATACACTGTGTTCTTGCGATAAAGTCAGCTGGAGAAAAGAGTGTTAAGAAAATCGCAGGGAAGAAAAAGCGTGAATACATTTGTAGTGTTGTATGTGTTCGTTGAAAAATCCACATTTAAGTGGACCTGTGCGGTTCCAAACTGTCATTCAAGGGTCACCCGTTAGTGAAACCTCCGGTCACATGTCCAGCCACGGGGGCTTCTGGTGGAGTTCAGCTGGTCAGGTCCCATCGCCCTCCCCTCCCCTCCCCTCCCCTCCCGCGGCCGCTGGCCCGGCGTGTCTTCTCTGTGCTGGGTGTGAGGGCGTGTGGGCAGAGGGAAGCCCTTGGGGGTGCGTGTGGTGGATCCTGGGCAGCCTTGTCCGGGAAGTGGCAGGACAGAGCGCTGGTCCTCGAGCCGCCGGTGTTTCCCAAGCCCAGTTAAGCCCAGTTCCTACCACTGGTCTGGAAATCCCAGGATCAGGGGGTCAGCCCGAGGATGCTTCAGCCAGGGTGGACCCGTGCCGCTAGGTGGCGCCAAGCTGCATTGGGACCAGACAGCCCGCGAGCTAGCTGCCCATGCCGTGAACCTTGCCGTGACACCCCGTGTCTCACGGTTTAATCTTTGGGATCTGTCTTGCGGAGGTGTGGCTGGTTTTACTGGGCTAAGAGCCAGCATTTTAGTGCTTTTGCTGTTCCAGGCAGCGTGTTAAGCAGTTAACATGCCTCGTCTCTCTTAATCTCAAACTCTGAGGTTCGGTCCGCACTCCACAGCACGGAGAGTGGGCCTCGCGAAGTCGAGTGACTCGCCCACAGTCACAAAGCTGGTAGGGGACTGAAGGGACACGGGGTCTTCTGGTCCGCCTGTTTTTATGAACAGTGGGGGGGTCGGGCCGTCTCGGTGCTGTTCAGCCCTCTTTTGGTTCACAGATCTTTTCAAAAGCCTGATGAAAGCTTGGGGTCTTCCCCCCGGAAGATGCGCAGAATCTGGCAAACAAGTTTTCAGGTGTTTGAGGACGTAGCGAAGCCCTGCTGTGCATCTGTCCCAGCTGGTCGCTGGGGATCCTGCCTGGGAAGGGGGCTGGGGCGAATCTGGGAAGCCCGGAAGCGGCATGGCGGCCACGGGGCGGGCGTGCCCCCTTGACCTCTGCTTCTCCCCCAGGATGGCCGTCGTTCCCGTCGTCATCAGCCTGACCCTGACCACGCTGCTGGGCAACGCCATCGCCTTTGCCACCGGAGTGCTGTACGGACTCTCCGCTCTGGGCAAGAAGTGCGTCTGCCGGTCCCAGCCCTGGGGAGGGCTCTTTGCTTCCTGCCTCCTGTGCCTCAGTGCGGAGGGTCTGGGAGTGGCCCTGTTACTCACTTGTGGAAACTGAGGCACAGAGGTCGTCAGCGACTCATCAGCGTCTTCAGGGCGTTCAGCCCTAGGGAACGAGCAGGGGACTCACAGCCTTCCTGGCCCAGGTGTTCCTCTGGCAGCCTCTGGCGGGGACGCCAGACACGGTTCGTGAGGCCTCTCCCCATCCAGGGCCACACCTGGCTCTGCAGCTCCCCGTTCCCTCAGAGCCCACACGGAGGCTGAGGGATCCCAGGCAGCCTGCGCGGCTCTCAGCGGTGACGAGACATGTCTTGGCCACTGTAGCAATAGGTCTCTGGAAACCAGAGGGCGTAGTAGGTTCTGCCTGCAGGTCAGGCCTGGGTCACTGGCCAGGAGTCAGGTAGTGGCTGGGAGGGCCGTGTGCCTGGGGACTGTCCCCGGTGTGACGCTGACTCGCTCTCTCTGCAGGGGCGATGCAATCTCCTACGCTAGGATCCAGCAGCAGAAGCAGCAGGCGGATGAGGAGAAGCTCGCAGGGACCCTGGAGGGGGAGCTGTGATGGGGTCTGGGGGCCCTGCCCTCCCCGCTCACCCTCCGGTTCTGCGTGAGCACGTCCAGGAGGGGCGGGGCCTGGCGGGGCAGCCTGGAGCGGACAGGTCTGGCTCCCCTCAGCTTCGGCACCCGGCCCTGCGCCCGGAGCCCTGTCTGCCCCCACTCCAGATCGGCGTTTCCTGGCCCTGAGCTGGTGCCGAGGTGCTGAGAGCCGTGACCGGCAGCAGAGAGACGGCGGCATGGGCCGCGGGTGGATTTCCAAGCTTCCGCAACTGGCAGAAATGCGGGGACCTGCTCAGAGCCCGGGGGGCGCCCCCGGAGATGGGAGTTCTGGCTCCAGGTGGGCGGCCTGGGCATCGGCCGGAGCCTCCTGTGTGCTGAGCCGCTGGGCTCACCCCGCCCACTCGTCGTCAGGGCGCAGCAGCGTCCTGAGGGCCGGCTGCTGCCACCACGGCCCCCAGCCGCTCGGTCCTCCGTGGAAGCCTCCTGTGCTCCCAGGGTGCGCCTCGAGCCCTGGGAGCGGAGCAGCCGCAGACAGCTGGCGGGAGGGCGCGCCCTCCCAGCGCCCTGGACTCCAGGGCGGACCATTTCAGGATCCCACAGCCCGGCGGGCCCCAGGCCCTTCCTGTTCCTCCCGCAGGCCCTGGTGCTAAGGAAGTGGGGGGCAGGCGCTCCTCGGCCAGCAGGGCCACCTCCCCGGTGTGGCCCTGCCCCGTTAGCGAGGGCCGGGCTTGACCACCGGCGCTTCCCTGCAGGCCTGCCCCCCTCCCTGTCCTCCGGGAGCCTCCTGCCTTTCGAGAGCGGGGCGGAGACTGCTGTCCCCAACTGCCCCGGGTGCCAGGCCACCGGAAACAAGGCCTGGGGCGAGGGGCAGGGAGTGTGGAGCACTGGTGACCTCATCTCCCCCAGGCTGCCTCCTGGCCCGGCCCGTCCTCCCACTCGGCCTCGGCCGTCAGGCGTGTCTGATAGGGCCTGGCTGGGCCCGGCAGCCCTGGGCAGAAGCGGGTCGCCGTGGGGAGTGCCCCGTCCAGGCCCAGCTCCTGCTCCTCCGCAGCCCCCAGGCCGCACTGTCCTGAGCCCCCAGAGCTCAGGGTTCTGCCTTGCTGTGTCGAACCCGGCCCCAGGGCGGTGCCTCGGCCTTGGCTGCCCACAGGGGCCTTTCATCCGCAGCTGTGGCTGGGAGCAGCAGGTGCCACCTGGGGACATGTCAGTGGGGTCTTGGTTAGCTGCGTCCCACCTGGAACCCTGAGCGGGCTGAGGGCCAGGGTGGCAGGGCATGTCAGTGTGGGTGGTATGATGGGACACGTGCCTTCAAGGGTCCTCGGGGGCCACCTTCTCAGGCCAGTGCTGGTTTGAAGGGCTGTGGGCTCAGGCCAGGGGGGCTGTGTGCGTGTGCGTGTGCGTGTGCTCCCGTGTGTGCTGTGAATAAAGACCTGCCTACCTCCCAGGAGGCGCAAAGGCCCGATCACCGCTCTCAGCTCATTCTTACCGAGGAAGGGGGACTGGTTGGTGGGGCCCAGCCCTCCAGCGCCCGCCCCAGGGCCTCACCGACAGGGATTTCCTGGCTGCTTGTGTCAGGGATGGTTGTACCTCCCCCCATGAGGGGACTGGGTGGTGCTGGGGGGCCAGAGGCAGCGGCAGAAGGCCCTCCATCCCATCCGTCACAGGCCGGAGTGGGCAGGTCGCTTGCCCGCGGTTCCCCGTAAGTAGCAGGAACAGTCCTGGGGCTGGGCCCCTGTTTCCCGTGGGAGGCCCGCCTTGCATGGACCGCCTCTCCAGGTTCGGGGGGGCTGGGCCACCAGGGCCCACTCCCGCCTCCATGCGTCTGGACTCTGGTCTGGACTGTGGTCTGGTCCTCGTTTACTCCCGGTGTTTAGCTTGGATGTGGAGCGATGCAATGTGGCGTTGGTCTGCTCGTTGGTGCGCTCTGCTTGGGACCCGCCTGCTGGTGTCATAAGTGGGTGGGAGGGATGCCCGACCCCACCTCAGCCGAGCGCCTGGGAACAGCTGCCATTTGCCCAGGACCGGCCACGCAGGGCCAGCTCCGCAGCCGGCTCCCCCATAGGCTGTGCGCATTCTCCCCATTGGATGGTCGGGGTGGCAATAAAGGGGTGTTGCCGGGGCCGTAGGCTGGAGGTGTGGGTCTAGCCCGGGTGCTGGGGGCCACCCTGAACACCTGGCTCTCCAGGGCCACAGCCCAGTTCTTTTATTTTCGTAAGTAGGGTGGACACGGTGTGCGGACGGACACTTGAGGGCCCCTTGTTCCCAGAGGTCGGGCTGCTGCAGGATTAGTACTTGTGCTGAGTCCTGAGCCCTGGCCCGTGGGCGTCCAGAACATTCCCTGTGGCGTCCGCAAACCCTCACGGGCGTAGATTTCCACCTTCCTCCCCGGAGCCAGGAAGCCCGTGGAGGCTCAGCGGTCAGAACTGGTGACGTGATGCTGTTCCCGGGGGGGCCGCTCTGCCGCCTCCAGCCCTGTCCTTGCCGCAGCCCTGCGTGAGGGCATCCTCTGTGCTGGTGTAAGGAGCGACGCCCCAGGTCACCCAGCAGGGCTTCGTCCCCAGACCCAGGGCTGCGTGCGCCCCTCCAGCCTGAGGCTGCCCGTCCGGTCCAGAGCGCGCTCGGCGCTGGCCTGCGCCTGGCCAGTCCTGCTGTGCCCTGGCTGGCGGCAGGTGCTTCTGCGTCCTGGATGGCACGGAGGCCTGGCCGCCCGGTGGCTTGGCCATTCCGGGCAGGGGCCCTGACCTAGCGCAGGAAGGACCGCCTCCTGGTGCGGAAGAAGGCCTCGATCTGCTCCAGCGACCGGCCTTTGGTCTCGGGCACGCAGCAGCCGGTGAACAGCAGGTTCACCAGGCAGACGGCAGCGAAGAAGAAGAAGGGGACCTGGAGGCCGAAGGCGGTCTGCGGGGGGGCGGGCGGCGGTCACTCGGAGACCCGGGCCCCGCCCCGCTCGCGCCCCCACTTCCTCCAGTTCGGTGCCCCGGAGCCTGCCCCCGCCGCCCTCCGAGGAAGCGCGAGGCCTCCTCCCGGCCCGAGGACGCCACTGTCGGCAGCCCGTCCTGCCCTGGCCGCTGGCCTCGGCCCCTGGCCCCCGCCTCTCCCCCGCCCCAGCCCCAGCCCGCGTCTCTTCCGTTTTACTGGCCCCGCTCCTGCCTGCAGGAAGCCTGCCACTAGTCTGGCTGGGAGGATGCTCTGCCCTTTTGGCTCCAGCTACGCCCTCCCCGGCCCTGCCTATCTGTGCTGCTCGGCACCTCCCAGCCTACTCACCCAGTCCGGGGCCCCCAGCCCTGCCTGACCCGCTGACTGCACCTGGGTAGGCACCAGTCAGAGCCGCATCAGACCCTCCCTCCTGGGACTGGGAGCTGGGACTCAAGAGATTCTGGTTGACTTCGGGGCCTGCTGGGGTTTGAACCCAGAGGTGGTGTTAAGCCAGGTGGGAGTTATGTGTGTGTCTGCGCGTGTGTGTGTGCGCGTGCGCATATGTGTGTAGGATACCACTGAGGGCTGACGGGCAGGGCACACCTCCGAGAGCCAAACTGCCAGCCCAGACAGAAAGCCCAGCTCTCCTAGCCAACGACGGCGCCGACGGGTGTGGCTCCCTGACCTGGGAAGTCAGCTGACTTCTCTAAACAGCTCCCCGAGCTGGCTGTCTGTCGTAATGAAGGAGGCTTTGCTGTCCGGCCTCCGTGTGAAGGAGGCGGGTGCTAATCTCGGAGGACCACTGAGGCTTAGGGGACATGGTGGAGAAGCCCCTCCACACAGCCCCTGGCGGTGGCCGGAGGGGCCCCGGCTCCCCAGCACTCACCACCACCAGCAGGAAGGACTTGGTGAGGGCGAAGGCGGTGAGCCAGCTGACCAGCACGCAGAGCCCCGAGGCGGTGCCGCGGGCCTGCAGGGGCAGGATCTCGGACATGAGGAGCCAAGTGATGGGTCCCCAGCCCATGGCGTAGCCTGCCCAGGGAGGGGGGAGGCCTCAGGCGGAGCTCACCTGAGGGCTCAGGCCAGCTGGTAGCTGCGGGGGAATCTTCTGCCTCCCTGAGCCTCTGAGAGACCCCTCCCCACCTGTCCCAGACAACCCGGGAGAGCGCTGCCCCACCCACACGTCACCCACGGGACAGCCCTCCCTGGCAGTGGCCCTCCCTGGCAGTGGCCCTCCCAGACTCCCCACCCCCCGCGGGATCACTGCCACACCTACCCATGATGAAGAACATGGTGGCCAGCAGGGGCACCAGGGTGATGTAGCTGGTGGGTATGACCAGGGGCTGCTCTGTGCCCCCGAAGGGCACGTTCTCAAGGCCCACGGTGCTGTTGGGGGTCAGAGGCTTTGGACCAAAGGAGACATACAGCCCCAGTGTCAGGTTGGCAGCAAACATGGTGGCCGCTGTGGACAGACAGATGGCCCTCAGGGGCCAGGACCCTTTGAGCTGGCGGCTCCCCGGACGCTCCTTCCACAGAGCCCCTCAGCGCCCTGTACTCGGTGCTGCCCAGTTCTTGTCCGGGCCACCATCACGGCCCACCTGCGACTGGACACTTCTGCAGAGCAGCAGCCTTCTCGTCCAGCCCAGTCTGGGCTTCCGTCAAACCCACCGTGGTGTGCGAGCCCGTCTGCTCGCACGAGCCCTGGCAGACCTTTCTGGAGCAGTCAGTGGGTGCAGGCCAGGCCCCGCGCCGGTCTGGAGCAGGTCTGCCCCAGGCCCTCGGAGCTCCCAGCCACATGGCACCTACCTCGAGGGGCCCGGCTGCAGGAAGAGCGAGGCGTGCCGACGTGCCCGAGACGGCGGGGCTTACCTGAGACGAAGAGCAGAACCTTGCGTCCGGCCAAGTCCATGGTGAAGGCCGCGATCAGCACCGACAGGAGCCTCACAGCCCCCACGATGGCTGCGTCATCCTCAGGAGGCTGCAGGGACGAAGCCACCGAGGCTGAGGACCCCCGGCCTGCTGCTGCTATCCCACCAGTCCCCCCAAGGTGCTCAGGCCTCAAGCCACAGCCACGGCTCCTTGGAGCATTGAGCCACCAAGCACCTACTGTGTGCCAGGCACTTTCTCCGGTCACCTGTCCTAGCCTGTGGGGCCTCTCGGGCAGGGGCACAACTGCCGTGCCCACCCCGGAGCCTAAGGCCAGCACAGACTCTAGATGGGACAATGACTAGTGGAACTCGCTGTCACCAATCTCCAAATCTCATCTCCCCAGCCCCGAACGGGGCTGACGTCACCCATCCATTATCTCTGTTCTGCAGGGGAGGAAGCTGAGGTTTGGAGAGGGAGCGACTTCCCTCAGTGAGCGGCAGATGCTCTGAACCTCGGGTCTGCATTTCTATGCTGGTTTCGTTTGTGATCCTGTACATTTTAAAACGTACGCTTTACTTGCAAACGTTTCCCTGAGGACAGGTGCATGGCACGGGACACGGGTACACGCCCCCGGTGGTCGCCCCCTGCACATGCACCAGATACACGGCACAGAGCGGGTGCCAGGTGAAGGATGGCCCTGAGGGACACCTGGGGCTTCAAGCAGGGCTGGGGGCGGGGGTCTCACCAGCAGGACGGCTGCGCTGTTGAAGATGGGCTGCAGGTACACAAGGATGGGCGTGATGCCCGTCAGCTGCTGTAGGAAGCGCATCAGCAGGGCGATGGCGATGGGTCGGTACATGGAGGGGTCTCGGGCCTCGGCCCATGACATGCGTCTGCTCTGGAGACACGAGGCAGCCTCTGAGGGGGCTGGGCCGCCCTGCCAGTGGGCGCCACTCTGCCCCGGACTGCATGGGGTTGGGCAGAGGTCCCTTTCATCCCTCCCCCAGGAAATGACCCAGGCCAGGGAACGGGCCCGGGGGACCCCTACCCAAACCACAGGCTCCTGGATCGGTGGGCTCAGGGTGGGGTGCTGTGACACCAGGATCTGGGGCTACCGGTACCCCGTTCCCTAGGGAAAGGAACCGAGGCCCGGAGAGGCTGGCTGCAGCCACACACAGTGGTGCCACCCCCCCCCAAACACACACCTGTCTCTGGACGTTGTCTTGGATCTGCTGGAACTCCCAGCGGATGTCGGCGTTGGCCCCGCGCAGCCAGGCCAGTGCCCACTGCGCCTCCGCGTCCCTGCCTTTCGAGAGTAGGAAGCGTGGCGAGCTGGGCATGAAGCTGAGCAGCAGGATCATGGCGACCGCCGGCCCCTCCCCGGCCACAGCCAGCCAGCGCCAGGGCAGCAGGAGGCCTGCGGGCGGGGAAGGGCTGAGGAGCTGGGATCCAGGCTGGACGCAGAGCCTCCTCCCACTGGGACCTCTGAGCAGCCTCGTCTGCCCTCAGGGCTGGTCCCAGGCTGGTCCCAGGCCGCCTCCTACGGAAAGTGCCGTGATGGCCCCAGGCCTCTGAGATCTGGATCGGGACGGGCCACACGATGGCCCAGCCCTGGCACAGGGCCCAGGTTCTTGGAGGGTCTCGAGGGCCATGGAAGGGGGCCGGAGGGGTGGCCTGAGCAGGCAAGACCCCGGGCCTCCACCACCAAGCCCCACCCACCTCAACAGGGGTGCTCTGGTCTCTTTTCTACTCCAAATTCCCACCTAAGGCTCTTTGACAGAAGGATTCTGCTGTCAAAAGAGTTTGAAGGCTGCTGGCTGCGGGGAGCCCTTGCTGGCCAGGTAGGAAGGGGCCTCGTGACAGTGACCGGGCGGGGCGGGGGACTGCCCGGGAGGACACGGAACTAGGAAGCCTCACGGCCCAGCCTTCTCTGGGGGCACATCCCTTCCCAGCCCTCGCCCCCTGCCCGCACACGGGAGGGGCCCGCGTGCACGCACGTCTCACCAAGGGCATAGAGAGAGAGCGACCCAAACACTGCCATGAGCTGCGGTGTGGCCCCCAGGGCCCCACGGACGCCTGGGGGCGCGATCTCAGACACGTACACCTGCAAGACACCGCACCCACCCCGGCCCGCGTGAGAACACGGGGGCCTGGCCAAGGCGGCGGAGGGGGCCCCGCTGACCCTCGGGAAGTGGGGGCCTCTGGTGAGGCTCTTGTCCTGGTCATGAGTCTGTGACCTCCCTCGGGCCTCGGGGTCCCTGTCAGGTGGGCAGAAGCACTCAGCTCTGAAACGGCTAGCTCGAAGCTGGGGACTGGGAGGCCAAGGGCACCCAGGCTCGACCTGGCTCCTCCCAGGGGTCTTCGCCCCCACCAGGCTCGCCGCAGCCCCGGAGCGGGTGTGCGGGTGGGCGAGGGCGGGGTGCCGGGGCAAGGACTTCCTTTTCCTCCCTGTTGCTCAATGTGGCTTTTCTCCCATTGAGCAATGTGCGTTGATTTTCAAGAAATGGGTTAGGAAGTTTGAGGAGTCCAGAATGGGGAGCAGCTGGTCACGTGGCGACAGATTTCCCTGAAATTAATGGCCCTGGCAGGGGCGAACTGAGTCTCCCCGGCCAACACATCCCTGCTGACCGCTGGACTTGGAGGCCAGGAGGCCTCTGCTAACGCGGTCAGCACGCTACTGAGGCTGTGAGGGGACTTGGGGTGGGCGGTCCTGGCCTTACCGGGATGCAGGCAGCTGTCAGCCCTCCAGCGAAGCCCGTCAGCATCCTTCCTAGCAGCAGCATCCACAGGCCACGGGCGCCCGCCATGAGCGCGTAGCCGGCTGCCGAGGGTACGGCGGAGAACATGATGCTGCGCTTCCGGCCCAGGAGGTCATTGAGGACCATGGCACTGAGCCCTCCCGCCGCCGCGCCCAAGGTGAACACGGACTGTGGAGGAGGGTGCAGGGCAGACACGTCTGGGCAGCCAGCATCCCCCGCCCCCCGTCAGATCCTAGAGACAGCTGCTCTTCCGGGCCAGCCCGGGAGTCTGGGTTGCGGACTCAGGCCCCGAACGGTAGTGAGCCTCCTGTCTCCAGAGGTGCCCAAGCAGCATGTGGACACAACGGGGAGTCCTGCTCTGGGCAGGAGGTGGGGCCGCGTGTCCACAGCGCTTCTGTGCAGACTGATGTTCAAGTGTCTAATACTGTAATACAGCAGACGGGAGGATTCTGTGACTTGAAGCCTCTGGGACTGTAAGATTTGGGGGTTCTTGGGTTCCCCATACACTGTAGTGAGTAGAGTTCAGTCAGCTGTGTTGTGGGGAGGTTGGTGGCACCCCCTTCGTGGGGTTTGGCCCTGGAGTCGATCAGCTCTCTTGGGAAGTGCAGAGTACACGCCTGGCACATACCAAGCGCTCAGTACCCGGTGGGCATCAGCGGCTCAGCTAATATGTTGTCACTGTAAATCTGAGGCCACCAGGATTGTACCGCTAGTACCCTGAGACCCTCGAGGTCTGTGCTCCTCTCTTCTGCGTGTCCGTGTCCAAATCTGTCCCGGGCCCTCCTCGCTCCAGCAGGCGCCTCTTTCTACGGGCACCTGATGCCCCAGACCCCTATCACCCAGGGAAGCAGCTGCTCTGCTGTGACAGTCCGGATCCGGGTGTGGGGGGCATGGGGAACCCTCAACCCCGCGGGGTGTAGACCGTAAGCCCTCCCCGACCTGCTCCTCCCCATACCTTCCCCACTGGCTTTCGCTTCCTCCTTTCATTTCAGAGCCATCATCTGGCCTCACACCCTCCTCCACCCCCAGCCTGGAGTGCGGAGGCAGACCGGGGTACCTACCTGCCACCCCTGCCCTGCCCCTCCCAACTCAGAGCCGGGTCCTTACCCCGAACCAGGACGCCTGGGTTTTGGTCAGTCTCAGGTTTGGATCCAAGGAGCGCTCCAGGGCTGGGATGACCGGGGACGTGTAGACCAGGGCGTAGCCGAAGCTGAAATTGCCCAGCACGGCGGCAAACGTCGCCAGGAACACCCTTTTGTTCTGCGGGGCCCTGGACGTGGTAGGGGCAGAGATTGGGGGTCTTTGAGTCCCTCCCCACCGATCTGCTGCCTGTCCTGAGTACGACGGCTGTCCACTCAGGGGCCAGTGCTGGGCAGGGCTAGGGCGAGGGCCAGTCAGACTGGCACCTCCCCAGGGACTGAGTGCCAGCTCTTTTGGGGGAATTTCGGGGCATGAGGACGGCCCCCACAGCCCACCGCCACGCGGGAGACACGGGTGCAGGGGGGCTTTTCTGCAGCAGAAGAGGCCTGGTTTCTGCCCCCAGCTTTGCCACCCCGGGTTCGCTTGCTCCGTGACCTTAGGCCAGCCCTTCGCCTTCTCCGTGTCTTGGACTCGCTATCTGTGACAGGTGGGGGCTGGGCCCGGTACTGGAGGGCAGGGAGGACGGCATACAACCAGTTCTTTAAATAGGAGTCTTAAATAGCGTGTCTAGGGGCAGGAGGGGACCAGATGGCCCTTTGGTGGCCACTTAGATGGTCAGAGGAGGCCCAAGGAGGAAACCAGCCCCCACCCACCGTCCCCATGCCCCGCGACTCTCACCCGATAGGCGTCCTCTCCTCCGGCGACGGGGTCGCCTTCTCGGGGAAGGTGTCATAGTCTGGGCCCTCGGCGCCCAGCAGCGGCTCCTGCATGGCCGGCGTCTGCTGTCTCAGGCGCCGCCGAGGGACCTGGGCAGCTCGGGCGGGGAGCGCGTCGGGTCGCAGTGGCTCTGAGCATCCGGCGGCGCCCGCGGCTCCGCCCCCCGGCCGCGATTGGCTGTGGGGCGGCCCTGCAGAGCCGGCGCCGGCCAATGGGCGGCCGCGAGCGGTGCGGATGCGGGGATGCGGGCGCGGCCGGGCTTTCCCGGGGCGCGGCGCGCACCTCGTGGGACCCTGGAGGTCCCGGGTGGTCCGCGAGGGTGGGAACCTTCACCGGAGGGAAGCCGCTTGACAGTCGTATGGGACCTGGAGGCAGAACCGCTGCCGGATCGTCCGTGTCCACGTTGGTTCCGAGCCGGGTACCACGTTGGCTCAAGACCGCGTCCCACCCTGGGGTCCAGCTCCTGCACGCAGCAGGAAGCTCAAGTTCGGAGAGGCGAAGCCACTCGCCAGGGTCACACAGCGAACTCGTGTCTCCCTTCAGAGGCGGACCGCGAGCTCCGTCCTGCGCCCCACTCTTTCTCTGCGATTGGCGTCCCCGGTCACCTCCGAGACGCAGTGGACTGTGGCTGACGAGTGTCCTGGCGAAGGCAGGGCGGAGGCGGTGGCGGTTCCAGTGGGCCGGACGTGTATTTTCCCCGTTTCTGGTCTTGTCCATTTACAGAAGTGACTTGGCCCGGTAGTGAAGCACCCAGGTAATAAGATGAAATTTAGAAATAAAGCAGAAGCGGAAAATTCCCTGGAAAACCGACCTCAAAAAATAACACAATTACTCATTCCAGCTCTCCATTTGGACTTTTTTTCAAAGAGAGAAGGCTGATCACACCCTATTCTGCTGGATGGATGTGCCACATATATTTTTAAACTGGTCCTTTGTCGTTGAGCATTTGGGTTATTTACAAAATTTCGCTATTAAAATAGTAAAGTGTTTTTTAAAAGTGAGTATAATTCCCTTTTGTTATCACTGAAACACGACGATAGAGGAAACAGTGACATCTGTCTCCTGACAGCGCCGTCCTGCTGGCATGTTAGTGTGTTCCTCCCACGCGTCTGTTTACACTTTTGCCTGTTGTGTGTGCACGCAGCTGAGTGACCGCTTTACATTGTATTTTAAGCATTTTCTTGCCATCAAGGACGCAGGCCTCGGATCCAGGCACACCCAATACACGGTGACTTTTACTGATAATATTGCACAGTTCTCATAATCACATTTTAAAATTTCAGATACGACACATCTTGGATGTGCAGCTCCACAATTAAACTTTGGTGTGCAGCTCTGTAATCAATGACCCAATGAAGAAACAGAAGCTTCTTATTACCCCGGAAAGTCCGGATATTTCTCCCCAGACATTCCCACCCTCCCGAGTCCTATCACTGATTTCTTTCATTGTGGATTAGACGTTCCTGCTCTCGAACCTGATATGAATATACTCTTGTTTCTGCTTCTCTTTTTTTTTTTCTCAATGTACTTGTTTTCTTTTAAAATCAACTTTGTTAAGATACAATTTACATAGAGGAACCTGAACTCATTTTAAATGTACTGGTTGGTGAGCGTTGACAGCTGTATAGCCCAGACCCCTCCCCCACCAAGGTCTCGAACACTCCATCCTCCTAGAAGTCCGTTTGTGTCCCTTTCAGTCAAACCCCCTCCTCACCCCCCCTCCGGGAAACTGCTGCTCATCTTCCTGTGCCAGTGGATGGGACTGGTCCTTCCTCGGAGTCATCCGTGTCATTTTCCAGTGTCTTTGTCCCTTTTTGTTGCTGTATATGAGTGCACCCCGGTGTCTGCCCAGCCTTTGGTGGGTGTTTGGGTTATTTCCAGTTTTTGGCTGGACGAACAAGGCTGATATGACACTCTGTGTGCGGAGCGCTGTCTTAATTGGCCTTGCAGGTCCCTGAGTGGATGCCCCTGGATTTGCTCATGAATCTTCTGTCGTGGGCATTAGGGCTGTTTCAGACATTTTTGCTCTGAAAATTAGCAATGCAACGAACATCTTTGTCCTTCAAGGATAATTTCCTTCAGCGAGGATTGTTTCCGTGGTCCTCGGGCCTCTTTTAACGCTCCTACCAGTGGGCTTATGCCCTCGCTCCTGACCACTGTCGCCCGGGTCTCCCCTAGATGGCCACTCGGGACCTGACCTGGTCTCTGGGGTGGGGTGGAGTGTATGTAACGCTCCTCCTCTCCCCCTGCCCACCCTGGCCTGGCACCGGTGGGGCACACAAGGGCTGCCAGGAAGCCCCTTGCCAACTTGAATTCAGAGTTCTCCCCACTTCTTCAGCCCGTCCCAGCCCACAGGCAGGAAGTCTCCGTTGGAGCAGCAGGAAGTGCTGGTCTGGAGTGGGACACCTTGCTCGGCTGGGCATGGACAGTTCGTTCCTCTCTCTGCCCTGAACACACCCACAGAAGGGCTGGGTCGCTCACTTCTCCGCCCCCAGCTCCGGCCCCTTCCTGCGAGAAGTTGGCAGGTTGCAGTTCTTTCGAGGAAGAGCCCTCAGTTCATCCACTCAGGCTTGCCTGTCCCTGGGAAAGTGGCAGCTCTGGGGCAGGCCCCTCCTGGGACGCCAGAGCTCCCATGGCTGCAGGGTAAGCATCCTGCAGAACTCCAGGACTGGGGAGGAGCAGGCCGGCGCCACTCCTGACTCTCAGATTGTGTCCACCCCTGGCTGACCCAGGGCATTGGAGCTTAATGAATGACCTGGTCCGAACTCTGCCCTATAGAGAGGAGGGGCCAAGGACCGGCTCTCAGAGTGCTGTGACCACCTCTGCCAACCTCCGGGGCTTCGTGGGAAGGCTGCTTCCGCTCCGGGCCTTACTCTTCTCCCGTGTAATATGGACGGGACCGGGTGCTGTGCAGGCAGGGCGCAGCTGGCAGCTTTGACACAGCTCCTCCTGCAGTTTCCCAAAGGTCCCCGTGGATGAGCCTGGGCTTCTAAGTGCCCTGGAAACTGGCGGCGCTGCATTCCAGACGCCCTGGCACAGGGGGAGAAGTCTCCGAGGGGGGAGGTAAGGCGTGCCAGTGGATCAGGCCGCACCCCCGCTGGTCCTCGTCCCCCCCGCGTGGCCTCGATCACCCACTTTAGAGGAAAGCAGTGTGGCTCAGGGAGCCCCTGCTCGTGGTCGCCTCGTGGGCCCTCGCTCAGGCTAGGGCCGGAGACCTCCCCTCCGAGGGTGAGCGCTGGTGGCCTGCCCAGTGCACGTCCTGTCCCTTACCTGCTCCTTCCTACAGATGGGCTGCCCAGGGCCCCTGGAGGAGAAGGTCTCTGACGTCCAGCGGTCCAGCACTCCCGCTGACCCCCGCCGTGCTCCAGGTGAAGCCATCCCTGACCCCGTGGACTCGGACCTCGTGCCCTCCATGGCCCTGGCTGCGGCCTTGGTCTTGCTATTTCTCTTACTCTCATCCTGGCTGGTGTGGCATGGGCACCTCCAAGGCTCCTGCTGACGTGGGTTCCCAGGAGCGGGGTGGGCGAGTCTGTGGCTGGGCCTGGCACAGAATCAGGAGTGGCTCCATGGGAACAGAGCCAGGGACACGAGGGTGGGGGGCGGAATGGAGGGGCTAGCCTCCCAGCCATACCCTGGGCCAAACCCCGTGGCCAGCTGCTCCCGGCAGCCGCAGCGGGACCACTGGAGGCCCCCGAGGCCCTGGACTGGAGGCAGGAACTCGGATGAGCCCTGGCCTCTGCCACAGAATGCCACCGCCCTGTGCCTGGCATCCGAGAGTGGGCTCCGAGCCTCGGGCAGCCGGACGTGCTCAGGCAGGCCAGGCTCAAACCCACTCATCCTGGGGTTGCGAATAAAGCCAAGTGACCACTGGGCATCTGAGAAATAAGTCAAGGTGTGCGGTAACTGAGAATTCCAGCCCAGGCTGTGCCTACACTGGGCCGTGTGACGCTGGACAGGGCCCTACTGCGTTCTGGGCCTTGGTTTCCCCAGTCATCAAATGAGGAATGCAATACGTACTCCTGGGAATTGTTGGGAGGGTCGACCAGTGGGGAGGCACTGTGGTCACTTCTGCAGCAGTCACTGCCTCTGTGCCCGCCTCTCTCTCTCCTGGAACTCAGCAAACGCTTGGAGGTAGCCACCCCTCCTCCTTTGCAGGCGGCAGTGGGCTGAGCCGGATGCGCGGGTCTTGGCTGCCACCTGGTGTCTGAAGTCAGAATTGCACCATCTGCTGTGAGAGTCCCCTTGGGGTTGCCGTCAGGCCCAGGATGGAAAATTTTGAGATTGTAAATAAACACATCCCATTACCCAGAGAGAACGTCTTTTACCATTTGCTATTTATCTTCTTTCTCTCCATTTCTGTATCTAAATCTTACCGAAGAAGTTGTCAGGAAGGAGGCGGAGCGGGTGGCAGAGAGCTGCTTGTGCAAGGGGCGGTCACTGCCCAAGGCCAGCAGGGCCTTCCCACCCACAGTGGCCCCTCCTGGGACCTGGACAAAGGAGTGCAGGCGCTTCTGGGCATGGGAGGGGCACGGAGACCTTCAAGCTGGCACAGAAGGCTCCAGACCTTGCTGTCCCCGATTGAACAAATACAAGACACCTCCCGTGTGCCAGACTCTGCAGAGACACAGGTGAATGGGCCCCCCAGAGAGCTCAGGGGCTCCTCCCCCTGCTCCTTCAGCGCCCTGGAGTCCAGGCCGGGGTGGCCGGGGGCTGCGGGCTCCCTCTCTCCTGTCCTGGGTGGACCTAGCCTGCTGTCTTGACCCCAGCTGCGGGAGAGGCGGGTAGGTAGTGCTTGGGGCTGTAGGGGCCTCAGGTACTCTCCGGGGGGAGTGGGGGTTGGGGTGGATCCCAGAGGTTTGGGGATCCTCTTGAAGAAGTAGGGGTAGGGGCACTGAGAGACAAGGCCTGGTAGCTGGACCCTGATTTTCTGACTGGTCACCTGCATGACTGGGGACTCAGGCTGGACCACAGGAGCCCCCTCCTCAGCTGACCGTCCTGCCTGCTACAGGAAAGGGAGGCCTGATTCCTCCGAGGGTAACTTTGAGACTGTCCCTCCCCCGGCCCCTCTCCTGAGCATCT